TAGACAGCACGCTTGTTGCTGTCTGAGAGGACCTCGAAGGCCTCAGAGACCTGTGTGTGGTTGAGTTGGGATGTATGTGAGTATATGAGGATGTAACGGACCTCTTTAAACTTTTTAGTGGCGTCTTCAGAGTTGTTGTTTCGATCAGGGTGCCACTTGAGGGCCTTTGAGGGATTAGAGAGAGAAATAAAGATCAAAGGAGATGATTTACCATTTTCTTGTACGCCTTTTTTATTTCATCGTCAGAGGCAGACTTTTGGATGCCCAGGGTGTCGTAGTAGTTTTTGCCCATGGTGAGATGAGGACAAAGGAAAGTTTGCAGCTTATAAGGCGGATTGAATGTTCTAGAGAATGTGATGTCATCCTAGACCATTCTAGAATTCTCCCACGCTCCTTTCCCTCCTGCCATGGACAGTGCCTCCACTTCCTCCAGAGACCCCCACCAAGAGTCCCTCTTCCATCGAGTCTTCTCGCCTTTCTCCGCCGCTGCTGTCGCTTCCCTCCCAAAACTAGCCCGTCCTCAACGCTACCAGCGTGCAGATGCAATCCCTGACGCTGACGCTGACGACGATGGCGAAATGCCCACCGTCCGCGACTACCACGCCATAAACCTCCCACCCCAAGTTCGCGTCCCAAAGAAGATAGCAACTCCCGTCAAGGTAGAAGCCAAAGTCTGGTTTGCAAATGAGCGCAGTATGTCCCTTATTATCAACATAAAAAGTTCAACCTGACATTGTTCCGTAGCCTGGGTAGCCTGGCTCAACATTTCCATCCTCGTCGGTACTCTTGCTCTTGCTCTCTTCAATGCTTCCAAGGACGAAATTGCCACCCGCTTCGCGTATACTTATGCCCTTATCAGCATTGGCATTCTCGTGCGTTTTCATTGCACACATTCTTCCGACCCCTGTGCTCAATATCGTACCAGGTCTACGCTTTCGTCTTGTACCAATATCGCATATCCATGATCCGCCGACGCGACCCAGGCCACTTTGGTTCGTGCTCTTTTTTTTTTCCTCCGGCCCATATCTCACTTCGTCTTTCTCAACAGACGTTATCGGCGGCCCTATTGTCGTCGGTGTCGTCCTCTTCACCGCAATCCTCGCCAACTTTATTGTCCGAGGTTCGTGTTTTCTCGCTCTCCCTTTCAACTTCCTTCTCACTCTTCGTTTTTTCTGCAGTTCGCGAGCTGTAAGTTGCATTTTGAGGTACCAACGCATATTTTTGTATTGACCCGCCCGGCCCTTGTAGCAAAAGGAAAGAAGTCCCAATTCCCGGCGAGGATTTCATCGGAGCCGTCTTCCAATCCATCAAGCCTTTCGCACTTTTCACACAATCGTCGTAAATACGTACGTACGTACGATCTACCCCTCGCCCGCCCGCCGCGCGATGCGACTCAGAATGGACCTTGTTTTGCTTTATACACGGAATTGGATTTAAGGGATGTCACGCTGCGTTCGTAGGATATATGGTACTCGAGTACTCGTTACTGTTATATGATGTGTTAATGTAGGCTTTGCGATTTTGTTCACTGGATACTTAAGACTTACGAAACAATGAGCAGGCTAGGCTACGAGAGAAAGTCATTGTACGTACGCGCGGCGCACGTTCGTCGCTTGGGAGGCCTGTCTCGAATGCTTCCGTCGGTGATCATGTTTATCCAGCCGCCAAGGCCAGGCCAGTGACACTGGCAGCCGTTTTCCCACTGCTTTCTCAGTAAGTAGTCTGTCGCCTCGGCCGGATGACCGCGGAAGCTCAACGTTCGACATCCGTCAACTGTCAGAACTTTCCAGGTTTCCAGGAGGAACTTCGGCGGGTATACTTTCTGTCTTGATCTTTGTGCTGTGCGCGCTTTCGACATCCGAGTCGAGTCGAGTCCTGCTTCTGGTCCTGGGCCTGAATACCTATCACAACTCGGGTAGCGTTGACATGATGATGAAGGCTGCGTACGATGGATGTGCATGAGCATTGATGGGGTAGTGGTAACCTGGGTCGTTGCCACCGGACGATGAGTTCGACTCGCCGGGGGTTCGATTCCCCCTTAATGCATATGTAAATAAGCTGGTTTCCAATTGTTTTCCTTTTGCTTGTCGTTCACTGTATGCTGGTTGCTCTACCACGCCGTCGACGTCCACGCAGAGAGAAGCTATTGGTTTGGACAAATGTCTTGTCAGGACATGACAATCCACTTATGGGTTCATTTTTGGGTTTGTCCCTATGGTCGCAGACTTCATTGTCTGATTGAGGCTCGAAGCTCTCTGTGATGACGGTCTCGAGATTTCCTTCTCCTTGTTTTCCTTCTGCTTGCCGTTCGCAGCGCTTACGAGGTGGTATAGCAGACTGTGTAATGCAGCTATATACGCCGATATTTCCCACCCTCCTCGAGCATCACTGCGGTAGTGGTAACAGTGGGTCGCAAACTTCATTGTCCACTGATGGAAGCTCGAAGCTCTACGAGATGATGGTCTCGAGATTTCCTTCTGGGAGCGCTTACGAGGTGGTATAGCAGACTGTGTAATGCAGCTATATACGCCGATATTTCTTACTCTCTCCAAGCATTAATGGCCCGGTAGTGATAACCTAGGTCGTAAAGGACAGGGTCCAAGCGAGAGGAGGCCTGACGCCAGTACTAGCGACAACTGGCAGCCGTTTTCCCACTGCCTTCTGTCAGCGCTCTCAGTCGGATGGCCTCGGACGAGATTCTTCTCGAAATTCAACATCGGCTGCATCGTCTTCTACTCCATGTTGTATACTTGGTTTGAAATCAGAGTTCTGGCTTTATTTAACTCGCTTCTTGGCTGATGCCATGCCTCATAAGAGGCACTGGGGACTCTGTGCCTTCTTGATTTCAGGCCATTGCTTGGAGTTTCATCTCAAGTTCCCTTTGATGATGATACAAGGTTGGACTTGGCAACTCCGAGTTTGTCAGGTCTTTCTTGCGGAGGCGAGCAAGGTTGCTAACTCACAGGAAAAGCTGTGATTCGCCGTAGTATTCATCCACCCATCTATCCAGCTGAATCGTATCATGTTATTATAGACCTTCCTTCAAGTTGCAACAAGACCGTTGTTCGCCTCTTGAGATCCCGTTGTATGTACCGATTTTATCTGCCAGTGCACTGACGCGGTCATGAGTTGCATGCATCATACCCCACGCTAATCTTAACCTCTGGAAACGTGGTATAAAATCGAAAGATATCATGGAGGGCTTCAATTCCCCAAGATTATTGTTCGCCATGACCTCAGAAGAGCGTTTAATCCTCCAAGCAATCGGTTCTGCTCTCTGGTACAATTTGCAAATAGGTCTCCCTTGTTTTATCGCATATGGTGGGCACGCTCAGCCGCAAAGTTCGTAATCGTCGATAAGACACTGACGAACGTCGTGAAAGGATTTCTTTCCCCTCTTACCTTCCTAACCATACGTGATCTCCTCAGGTTGAAGGTTTCTTTTTTGCTTTTGTCGCACTCACTCACGGCTGTTAGATATTTACAGGCATCGCAGCCTATCATCAAGAGGTACCCAAGCCACACTTTGCACGCTTGTGCTCAGCTTTCTCGTGGCAACGATGTCAGAGATCCAAATGGCTGCAATAAACCTTGGTGCCCTTGCCGTGTTTTTCCATGAGATTGTTAATACGACACTCGAAAACACTGTCAATCATATGAATAACTTCGTAGTTCCATGGTCTATAGCTTCAACGTGGTTTGTCACATTTTTAGTATGTCCATTCCTCGAGTCTTTTCTAAAGAAGTTCTCAGTCTCAAACTTGGCGTTTATGTATTATCAGCCCATCGTGACCGACGCAGTTACCATTTGGCGAGCATGGGTAATCTTTTTTAGAAGACGTTGGGCAAAATGTATTCTGGCTTCTATGTGGATTTTGAGTGCCGGTACGCGTATTATTTCTAAATTGGGCATGCACTGAAATTGACTGACTGGTCATTGCAACTGGAAGGAAGCTGGCTATTAGGCCTAATTCTCGATTCAGTAATTGGTTTTGGCATGATTCGGGTTAGCGTTCAGGCTTCAAACTCGACAACAGAAGTTCTCGAGCTCGTTTCCGGTATTTTGACCGATATATCAATAAGCCTGAGCTTTGGCATGAATCTCCTGGCCACTTTGCTCATCGCCTACATCCTTTGGTTCGACCCTATCTCTATTGCCTTCGCACTTCTCCCTTTTGACATTCTCCCCTTTTGACTGCACCATACAGGGGGCACTTAGCTCTCACCAGGACCGTTGAAGAGCATACAAACGAACAGGTCAAATTTCGAGTTTGGCGAGTCCTTGTGTTGCTCGTGGACAGTGGTTTTGTGTACTCCTGCCTGCAGGTCTCGCTTTTGCCTAATCAAAGCCCTGGAGCATTGACTCATTTTAATTCCAGCTTATCGACATCGTTTTGATCTTGATCCCACTGAACACATTTTCATATCATATGGGTGTTAACATCTACAGCAGTGTGTATACTGTAGCATCTGTGCGTGTGATGCTCTCACAATTTGCTTTCTTATCTCATCTCTACTGTGGTTAGCTCGCCTATCCGACAATCGTAACCTGCTTGATCCACGGCCCCTTCTCCGTGGCTAGGATCCACGAGAACGCGGATGCAATTTACCACTCTCAAAGACAGAAAAATAATGGTGGTGTCTAGAAGAATAGATTCGGAAAGTCGAATGCGTTTCAACTTTTTCTCTTTTTTCTCCATCTCATCTTCCGCATCATCCGACTCCTTCCCACAACAAAAATATGTATTTATTAATTGTAACAGTGTACAAGGATAGACTGGCAGCAAGGCTGTCCATCAAGATCGTTAGGAAAGTTTCATTTACTAGTGATAGAAAGGATGGATTAAACTTGGCAAGGGGCTGGAATTAATATTAATTCAGTTAGGACGCAACATGAAAAGTTTGTCCCATCCTGCAAATACACTAGGATATTGCAATTGGATCCAAGGCGTGGTTGTTTAAGGCATCTATATAAGCTGATATGTTCTGTCCTCCATCAAGCATTAATGGGGTAGTGGTAACCTGGGTCGTTGCCACCGAACGATGAGTTCGACCCGCCGGGGGTTCGATTCCCCCTTAATGCATATGGGGGTTCACATAACAAGTTTTTCTCTTTTGCCTCTGTCAAACCAACTCGAACTCGACATCAGACACGGACCGCGACCATGAACATATTTCACGGCTATATAGATATCCAGGAAGCATCCGGAGGAACTCGCATTCGTTTTTCAACCTATACGATACATATGTACATGATACGGGCCAGAGCCCGCTCGCTGCGCATGCCCAGCCAGATGCCTATCCTTACCCCAGACTAGCCAGACATCTCCGCGGATGTCTCCACCTTTTCATGCAAGATACGCGTACCCTTGCATCAATGTGGGATGTCCATGTCGTTGATTTAGCCCAGCATATTAAGGATTCTGGAACAGCAGAAAGAGGGGGGGTCAAATGCCCAGGAGATCACGGTGACGATGATGCGCCGATGCATACTTATATACCTACGTATGTAGTCGTTCGGTGTTTCATGAAACCAGTTAGAAGAACACTCTATGTATGTCGAACGCTGTTGGTGAGATAAGAGTGGCGATACAAGCGACTCGCCAGGGCTCGGAATGAGAGATCCACTCACGAGTAGAGAGGCATGCCAAGGGATCCAAGCTCAACAACTGATATAGATAGCCCCGCTGGTGTATCAAGTGAACAGCGCTACATCCTTGTAGCACAGTTGCACAAGATGTCAGCTGAGAGCTCCTCATGACACTGTCAACAAAGACTCAAAGACAAGAGACAGATGCGCAAACTTTGATAGTCCTGATATATATGTATCTGATAAAACTCTTAACCGTCGACGCCTTGTCGACGTCGGTACGCTACGCGCACTGTTCCGCGGAGCGGCCATACTGTAATGTGCGTGCGTCGTGATGCATCTTGATGAGACAGATACAAGGTTGTTTACTTTAGGCGAAGGCGAAAGGCGAGAAGAGCCCAGGGTGAGCCTCGCTTCACGAATCACGGAAGTCAGAGTCCAGAAGCTTGGTTTCATTCGTTACAAGGATAGCTAGCGCCATTTTTCTCAGGTCTCGGGTTTGTTCAGATAACAAGAATGCTGTCTGGGTGAATGAAGACGTATTAAGAGAGCTAAAAGCCTTTGAATAGTTCCGGTGAGTCAGCCAGTATTACACCCGTTGGAAGTTTTAGGCTCTGTAGAGAATCGACAGAGATTGCCGGCGCTTCACGGTGTATACCGTTGTCTTCACCGTCCAGTATTACAAGCATGCGAGTTGAGGTCCGGCGGCAGGTTTTGGACATTTTGTTGAAATTTCAAGATTTGACATTGGGTTCATAGAATAAGAGCTCTTGAGAAGAAAACACCGCTACCCGACTCGCCATTGAAGAGAATCTAAGGTAGGGAGCATAGTCGATGGACGTCGGATTGATAGAAACAGAGAAATGTAAAGCGTAGAATGTGGCAGTCCTGAGTCTGGCGGAATCAAGAATAAGAACAAACAACTTGAACACTCTTAGTAAGTTGTACTACCAATCTCTTCATCTATCTCTGCCGGTGTATACTCTGGCCAGCCTCTACTTAATGTGCAATTGTCTAAGCCTGCTCCACTCTGAGATCTGAATCCTTGGAAAGGGAAATCTCTTAGCTGGTTGAAGAAATCATATGAATACGACGTCGCTCTCGCGGTTTCAGACATGTAGAACTGCTTAGGACTTGTACTGGTGCTGCAAGTCAGTAGCGTATTGGACTGGGTCTTTGTGCACCATGTTTCCTTTTTCTACAGCCTACTCTTGCTAAACGATAGTCCGAGATCCTCCGAAACGATAGATGAATACGGTTCAGGCTATTCAAACTATCGCGGTCAAGTGCTCTTATCGAGGCATCTCTGCTAATGTCGGAGCATTTTCTTTACAAAGTTTTGACTACTTACTCTCTAAGCCCACATCAGAATCTAGGTCGGTGGCACAGAAAAAATCACACGAAAAAGTCGTACCGGTAGTCTTGATACCCCTTAGCAATGGTTGGTTTGAATTGCAGCCTTTTGTCTGGAGATTACCTTGAGAGTTTGTGGCTTCGTAACATGCCAGGATGATCGGGGGGCGCTGGGACACATGTACGCTAACTCTGGTATTCTGAGCCACTGATCATGAATATCGAATTTTTTTTAGAATGTCGACAGTTCTTCATGCGCAACGACTATTTCTGGGATCAACCCCTCAAAAACTTTTAAAGTAGAAGCATTTAGGCAATCCTTTCTTCTATTGCATGACCCGGCCCGCGTCACCAACAATATGCCTCGATTCCGATATGCCTCCCGTGTGTTTTCTGTGCATATCACCTGCCAGTGCCCATTCATTTGCTTCGTGTTTCTTTGATAACTCATTTGATAGTTGATTATGGCAGAGCGGCACTGGGAAGAAGTTTCTCCGTCCAGACTCCAGCGCTTCCGGACCAACAGCTGTTCAATCAACAGCAGGTAAGGCACTGACATTTGCACGTCAGTATGTTGTTGTACCTACTAATTGTGACAAGCAAGCGGTTCAGTGGATATTTGCGGGTGATCACGAGAACTTGAGTGATGCAATGCCTTCTCCTCTCTTCAATTTGAGCTCCCTGACATCTCAACAGTCTTCATATTACTACGCGATATACCCCCCGCAATGAACGGACCCTCTCCCACTGGGTTCAAAGACACAATAAATAGCTACCAACGTAACCCGATGTAAGTAGTAATAAGATATCGCAAAATAATCATAAAAACAGGTGCCCCGACTAAAGGCCTACCGAACCAGTCATAAGGATGCCTGGCGGTCTACTCGGTGGTTGGACGCGACGAACACCAGGTTAACAATTCTCCGACTATCAAAGCGCAGATCGGCTGACTGAGACGCAATTCTACGCGTGTACCTCGGTTAAAACGGAACCTAGTCATGGCGGGGAAGGATGACCACTTACTTCACGGTGACAGTCTTGTGCCGTTCGAATTCAACAGGTTTGGGTGACCCAGGCAATGTTTTCTGGATACCACGAATGACGTAAACGCCACCGAACGATCCTTCCTGGATACTATGTTAGCCGTGTATACAGTGACCTGTAATCAAGTGAAACACACTTGGTTCGTAGCAGGGTTCAAAGGAGCCTCCACTGCCTGCTGCCAGTATACTTTCAAACCTCTGGGAGCACTTCTGCGCATGGCAAGGACAAGTTGTTTGACTCCCTCCCAGTTCAGTGGCGCGCCGTTAATGGTACCATCAACGTTCTCTGCGAAAGTCGTTGAAATGGCGCGGACTGACTGCTCGTCGTTGGGAGCCTCGAATATATCTCGAATGTGATTGACGGACCACTCTGTCAGTGAGCAGAGAGGCTCCTGAAATGTCGAAAGTTCCATTTTATACCTTGAGAGAGTAGGGGCTAAGGGAAACTTGAACATTGTTAAATTTTCATGCTCCTTCTTAAGGTCTTCGCGGGCTTCAAGGCATTATGATTAATTGCCTGAGACAGTAAGGGTGAATGGCGCAGCGGAAAAGTCTGAAACAAATTGAACGATGATCTAGGCAAGATCTACAGGAACATGGAGCTAGCATAGAGGACTATTACCCGGAATCTTGGACTTGACTGTCAGCAGAGAATTCAAACGAAAATGGAACGATGAGACATGACTCATTGACCATTATGGCTTCATGAGTATCTACGATTCGGCGAAGCAATAGGTCCCGAACAGCTGCACATAATGAAATCTTGGATAAGACGGGGTCATACGGGATGATACTACACAAAGTTGTAGAAGGTTGTAGACCTCTTCCAAGTTCGGTGCGATTCTCCGATGTTGATTGGAAATAGATCAACATAGCAAGTACCGATGTCGACACATCCCAAAGGGAGAAGCAAATGACAAACTATACGCATCATCAAGGGCGTAACATGGACGTTATTGGAACCTATTGGCGCAGAATGAAGCGTTGGCATGGTAGACAGATTGATCCGTCGAGTGCGAAAAAAACGATTGAGAGCCATCCATTTCCAGGAAGTTACTCTTTAGCACGTGCTGCGATCGATGAGGACTGGATCGACCACAGCTGGCTTCGAAGTCCCGTACTCTGCTGACAATCACAGGACACGAGCGAGATAGACAGGTGAGCATCAGAACGTGCTAGACGAGCCTGGATTCTAGATACCAGAACTCCTGATTTGTGGGACTTGGAGCTAGTCGTGATTTGCGGAGAAGGGCTTAGATAGGAATGGACTCGGAGAAATACAGTGCTGAACGGTACGGCATGCAAGCTGACACTGGCAGACTCACTGGAGATCCACGCACCTTTGCGAAGTCGCCTTGGGATCTGCAATGCTCCATTCGCCATCATGCCGATGATTTGGTGCCAGTGCTCGGAGTTTCTTATGCCGCAATGATGCCTTTCGCGCAGAGATGACAGAATATCTTGGCTGTAAAAAGTTGCATGTATCCACGATCTTTGACAGGTATTGTCGAGACTGAAAAGAGGCTAGTGTGGGGAACAAGGTACAACAGAATTTCAGGCAACATACGAGTGTGCTTTCCCATGGGATGAGCTCGCAAAGGCAGGCAACTGTGTCCGATGTGGGCGGGCGCCGGGAAAGACACGAGTGGGCATCTAAACAAGAAGTGCCTGGGTATCGATTTGAGGTCTAGGCAGCAAGTGGAAAATCTATATGGTATTCCTGTACGACTGCGCAGCAGAGCTGAGTGAACAAAGGATGATGTAGGGAAGATTGGTAATGTTCTGGACAGCCGCCAATGCAGGAGCGGAATCGAATGGGCTAATCGGGCAGTGCTCTGTAGCACTTGGCTTGCACAGTCTGCTATCGAGCCAATGTGATGACGGACAATGGAAACAATGGGAAAACAACGATGGGAGAGTACCCTTGCGCGTGAACGACATTCAATGTGTGATCACGTTAACACATGCCAATGTGAATGACGTCCTAGCATGACTGAGCAAAAGATGTCCAGACATCCTGGTTTCACCTTGTTCCCAAAAACCACAAGATGTTCGCTACTGTACCTTATCTTGAAGATTCTCCAAAGCGTGTGCGAGT